GCCGGCGTGTCACTCAGAGCTCAGCCCCCGTGTGGCCGGCGTGTCACTCAGAGCTCAGCCCCCGTGTGGCCGGCGTGTCACTCAGAGCTCAGCCCCCGTGTGGCCGGCGTGTCACTCAGAGCTCAGCCCCCGTGTGGCCGGCGTGTCACTCAGAGCTCAGCCCCCGTGTGGCCGGCGTGTCACTCAGAGCTCAGCCCCCGTGTGGCCGGCGTGTCACTCAGAGCTCAGCCCCCGGGTGGCCGGCATGTCACTCAGAGCTCAGCCCCCGTGTGGCCGGCGTGTTCCTCTGCGTTAGACCAGGTGCTGTGTGGGCCGACGCCCGGCTCCAGGTCGCAGAGCCTTCGGTTTCTTTTCACCCTCCTTAGGCACATTTTTCTTTTTTGTTTTCACATCCATGGAATGTGTCCGCTCCGTAAGGGCTCTCGTGGACGTGAAGTGTGCCGTGGCCTGAATTAGAGCCAGAAAATGTCTCCTTATCATTAGGTTTCCTTTTCCTTTTTTTTTTTCTCGAGGCATGTTTTTGGTAGATTTCAATTTGGAGGCTATAAATAAAACCGTAATAACCAGAAGTAAGCGGCACATTTGATTAACTTCTGTCGGGACCAGGAAGTCCCCCTCCCCCTCCCCAGTGCTGGCGCTGGACGGACAGTGCACTTGACACGAGACGGGTTAACAGGAGAAAAGCCAGGGTAACTGTGTCTGCGCGGGGATCAAACATGGGTGCTCAGAGAGTGACCCGGCCCGGCCGGCCGGCGGGGCTCAGCGGTTGAGCGTTGACCTAGGACCCAGGAGGTCACTGTTTGATTCCGGTTTCGGGCTCCATCCCCAGTGGGGGGCGTGCAGGAGGCAGCCAATCCATGATTCTCTCTCATCATTGTTTCTCTCTCTTTCCCTCTCCCTTCTTCTCTAAAATCAATAAAAACGTATTTAAAAAAAAGAAAGTGACTCCAAAGCAGGCAATGTGCCTTTTTACGGAAGAAACAAGACATTTGTGAGGATTTGCGAGAAGAAAGAGACTTACTAGTAGTTTTGGGTGCTCATCACTGAGGAGTCTAAGCGGAGTTGGAGCTTGGGCAGTAAATGAAAGAAAGAGCAGGTTTGTGTACACACCTGTCGGCCCCGAACCCCCTGACTCTGGTGGTTAGGACTCTGTCCCCGGGGAGGTTCACCTCTGGGCTTGGGGGACACAGACAGAGGCCCCAGTGTTCTTGCACGAGCAGCTGCTTAAGTAACTGTAGCTCAAAGGGATCAACATACCCCTTCGGGGTGGCCTGCCCCGGCCCGACACTTGTAAATGCCTTCAGCTGCGTAAGTCTTCCGCCTTATTTATCAGACATGTTCTCTGGGACAGTCGGTAGGATGTGGGCAGAACCTCTTCCTGTAAAAGGCTGGGTAGCAAGTGTGTGAGGCCCACAGGCCGGGTCTCTGCGCCCTCGACTCCACCTCTGAGTGGGAGCAGCTGCGGACAGTATGACAATGAATGGATGTGGCTGTTTTGCAATAAAACTTTATTACAATATATTTTTATTGATTTCAGAGAGGAAGGGAGAGAGAGAGAGAGAGAGAAACATCAACGATGACAGAGGATCATGGATTGGCTGCCTCCTGCACCCCCCCATACTGGGGCTCAAACCTGCATTCTGGGCATGTGCCCTTGACTGGAAACGAACCCAGGATCCTTCAGTCCGCAGGCCGGTGCTCTATCCATTGAGCCAAACTGGCTAGGACCATGTTTTCACTTTTGTGTGTATAGACTGACTTGCTGTGGAAGGTGAGTTCATTGGCCCAGCCACACGGGCACAAACAGGAAGTTCTGAAGATTCCGAAGCCCTTCTGTGCCGCTCGTAAAT